AGGAGATTGATGAGCCCTGCCTGATGCGTGTCACATGCTCGAATCGATGGCCTGTTGCGCCACTGAGAACTACGTTTTCCACTCCTTTCCTTAGCCAAAGGCAGGGACAAGGTTGGAACAAAAAGAAGAACGAATCCAAAGCTGTCAGCCTCCTCAACCCTCCAATTCTGCCAGCTTGCGCCGCTCTAAGCTCTCCCATTCTTTGTAATATTTCAAGTTGTGGCGGGTTTCTCTCGGTGTACGGCCCGCTCCTTTTTTAAAAGGCAGCCGAGGGGCAGGAGGCGGAGGAGGACGAAGAGTCATCGACGCCTGACAGCAGTGCAAACAAATTGTGGCAACTGGAAGCGCAGGGCGGCAGGGAAAGTGGCAGCATTCTTTCGGACTTTGTAGTTACGAGTTTCACGGGGTTTACGATTCGAGTGTCCGTGTCTGGGCCTTCTGTGAATTGATTGATGGGTCTGCCAATGCCGCCTGACGTGCAACGAGTCGTCGAAGCTTTCCGAGCTTACTTTCATTTACTGTGTGCTCAGTGGGCTCAGCCGGAGGGCAGATAAAAAGTGCCCCAAGTATCTGTGCCCAAAACTTGGGGCTTAACTTCTGTGAGCTCCTGCGGCAATAGGCTTTACGAAAATGGCAAGAGCGCAGGAACAGTTATTGAAATAAAATTAACTTATAAGAAATGGTATCATTAATAAGTAATTCAAATGAATAACTTTTTCCTTACTTTTCAGCTTACTAGTTGCGGTTACTAATCTATCTTATGTCTGAGCATCTGCTAATCTTGATGACTTCACCAATTAGCCCCACTCGCGATGCGCGCGATAAATATTACGTTAGCAATAAAGAAGCCACAACTAACCAGCAAATATGGGGGGGCACACCCCTGCGGAACATTTCCCCCCAAATGGCCGCACAATTCGCAATTGGCACACACTATCTTAACGAAAGGGCAATCAATTTCTCGCGCTGTAAATTAACATTCATGGGTGGGGCGGGGAGGTCCTTTTGGAAAGGTCCGGGAAGGACACAGCACGGCAGCTGCTAACTGCCACGCGGGGGATTCCCCCTGCGGCTGAACGACCCCCTTCAGCTAACCATGGCCCGCAATCAGCGTGCATTAATATGCACGAAAACAATAAACAATCCGGGGACGACGAGGAGCGATTTTCGGGGTTGGCGGGGGTTGTCTTGGCGGTTTGGGGGCTTGGGGGTTTGGGGCAGAGGCGTTACAGCGGCAATCATGCAAAAAGCAAGCAAACGCCGCCATTATGGCCATCCCGCTCCAACCGGCACTCTGCCGTCTCGCTTGCTCTGTGGGCCCGACGCAACTGACAATATTTATTGCAAATGCAGCAATAAATTTCAAAACACCATTCGCTAAGCACCACATGGGGTCTCGAAAATTGAAGATAAATTTTAAGGCGGCAATTTATGATTTGTGGGCATAAGCGCTGCTCTGGGCCGTCGCGGGCGGTGGGGCGGGTTGGGGCGGCTAGGGGGGCGGGGAGCGACTAAGGCCACTGCTGACAAGTGTGGAGTGTTTGCCGCCGCACTCCTTCACTCACCCATAGCCCCATCCCCGTCCCACTTGCACCTCGTAGCCCATCTCGCTCCCACGGCCCGCTCGTTTTTCAATTGTGTTTGCCGCGATTTTACGACTGCCCGCTGCGCCTTTGACAGCCGCCTGAGCCGATATGGTCTCCGAAACCCTTTCTTACACTGCGAACAATTCGGGCTAGTCTACGTGCCTAAAGGAATTCCCTTACTGAGTTTACTTACTGCAAATGAATGAAACTTGACTGTTTTTAGGATTGCCAGTTTCAAAGGGCAAAAGTTAAAAAACGTATAGCACTTGAATATTTTCGTCAGTGTAGCTCAGCGCCCAAGACTCTTGGCCGCAGAGCCGCGGAATTGTAAAAGGCAATTGGTTTTCGCCAAAACGGAAAGAATTGGAGGAAGCGGAAACAGAGGGCATTGGAGGGCTGGAAGTCTCCCTGGGGGCCTCTAACTGGCATTTGAAAAATTACTCTACCAAAGCTAGTTAAAATATTTTTCAGCGTATTGTCAATCAAAAGTGGAAGCAGCAATTAAGAAAACACTTGTATTTTATATGAAAGAAGAGTGTTTTATATATTTAAAAGTATTTTTAATAGAACGAATTTTATGAAATGTCGGTAAGGAACTTTTTAACCGTGACACTGTTCAACTAAAAATAATTGAGTATATAAATTATTTATAAGACATAAAATGTGATTTGAAAAAATGAATAATTTGTTACATGATTGCAAATAAAGTTGAGTGGCTTATTGCCAACTACTAAACATATAAAAAAGGCATAGAAAAGCATCTAATCGAGAGTTTTTTTTGCCCAAGTTTTGAGTTAGTTTCATGCAGACCACAACCACTGTGGAGAACAGGACTGCGGATAGCAGAGCCCTCCTTGCAACACCTTGGTGCAATTATTCATTCACTTGCTAGCCGCAGCGGAGGAGGAGTGCTGGTGGCAGCCAAACCGCCAGACAGAATCTCCTCTTCTCCACCAACGGCAACGGCAACGGCGAGATGCAAACAACAATCCGCTTCAAGTCGAAAATAAGGAAAGGGTTTATGAATGCGCTCATGAAAAATGGAACATCGTTAAGAGCAATTCATAATGAAATACGCGGCACGTCGCGGACGGGAGGGAAAGTTCCCCGCACTTGGACATGAACCTGGACCAGGACCTGAACCTGGACATGGACCTGGACCTGGACCTGGAGCAACTGCTATAAGCTGAGCCCAGGCGGTCTGCACTCTTTTGGTTTCTTCGCTGGAAGCAGCATAAAAATTATGACCATAAGCAGGATATTGGGTTAAGGTTTTATTATTCTTGCCTCCTTGTGTGTTGCCAATAAACTTTGTTGCTGCAGCTGATTTCCACCTTTCGCTTCGCCTTGTTTCCCTTCTGTCTCTCTTTTTTTCATTTCGTTGGTTGTCCAAATGAAGCTGTTGCATTGCCAGACGAAAGCGGTATTTCAATCAGAGCCATACAATAAAGGGCATACATACATATGTACATATGGAGCTATGCAAGCCTTATCAATAATTTCGTTTTCATATGCGCATCGCCCGAAAGATACAGATGGGGCCATAAATATGATTCCGGGCCGGAGTGGATTGGCTAGGGAAATTTATAGAGTCTGTTGCTGGGGCTGTCAGGTGAAATAAATAATAAATTCGTTATTTTTCGAGGCTCCAGCTCCAGCTCCAGCTCCAGCTCCACTCCGACCATTCGACGGCGTTGGCTATCAACGGCGCAGAACAGCAACGACAATAACTCCAGGGGCGTATGATGGGGCACGCCCACATTCGGCAGCCCCAACATCCAGCGTCGTGCTCCCTGCACAGCTGCAAATCGCACTCGGACATCGTGGGGCCGATGGGGAAACAAATTTGAATTCAATGAAAGATGAAATCATTAAGTTTGCCGGCAATTGAAGGCGGCTGCGAATGCGGTTGGCTTTAATCGCGCTGGAGTCGCGCATTGCAACTGGGATCCGATTGGATCGCATTGGGTCGCATTGGGTTGGGCTTGGTCCGGAGGAGGCGATGGGATTGTGCCGCAGGCCAGACATTCACCGAAAAACGCTGAGGAGGAAGTGCAGCCAACGAGTCAAGCACTCAATTAGAGAGTGCCCCAAGTTGCCGAAAAGAACCATTAGCTAATTCGGGCTGAAATGAAAGTATGCATTCATAGTTTAAGTTTTCATTAAGAAAGTATCATCAATAGGATATCTACGGACTGTGATTATTCCAACCGTGGCATTCTTACCATTTACAAATTAAGATTCATTAAAATTAAAACAAATCCTTGAGTGGATTTCGACTCAAATTCCCTTTAATACAAAAATATGGGCGATGAGGGAACTGAAAACTGGCCACTCCATGTCCATGGGAATGGAAATGTCGCCACTTCGTGCACAAGGCAAAAATACGGTGGCTAATGAGAGGCATAATCAACTTCCCATGTTGCATACACAATTGATGCCAATGCCCGGGCCCTGCCCAATAAATATCAACAGCCACACAAATTTGCCTGCTGGCCAACTGGCAACTTCAAAGATACAAGAAAACCAAAAAGGCGAAAAGAGGCGGAAAACCAAGCCGCGGGCCAAGAGAGCCGACAACAAAAGCGCACATAAATCAACGATCAAGACAATTGCGGTGTAATAATTTTAACTTCTTTAAGTCGGCAGCCAGCCCACACCGCACACCACGGCACCACCCGGCACCACCCGGCACCACCCTGCACCACCCTGCACCACCTGGCATACTCTGCACCACCGACTCCACTTCAAGTCGATCCGATTCGGCGGGGACCCATAAAAATAACAGCTTATCGGCAAGGAGAATCGTGTCGTGGCACGCCTACCAACTCAAAAAGGCATTAAAATATGAAAACAACAATTGCACACTCTCTGGCAGGGGGAGTGGGGGGGATGCTGGCGGGGGTGGCATCCACCTCCGGGGGAAATCAACAGCAGTCTGCGAGTCGCAGAGTGGCCGACACGCCCCCTTTTCTTCATTGTAGGCGTCAGCCGTTGGCAGCGGCACGTTTTCCTTCGTGAAATTCCAAACTAGCCCCAACCGAGTAAGAGGCTAATCCCAAGATATATAGGTGTATCAGGAGTTGCACCTCCGCGCCCACCGTCCTTGCCACATCGCGCCATTGTTCAAGTTGGGGGAGGGATCGGTTTCGTGCGGCAGCGGGCATTACAACTTAGTTAGCTCGGCCAGAATGGCAGGCGATATCTCAATTTGGGACTCATAAAACTGGCGGGTAATAGGCCATGTCCAAAACGACCAGCCGATGCTCTAGAAATAGCTTCATTTTATTAAAAATGATGTAGACATAGCCTTTTTCCAGGAAAATGGCACACTTTCCAGGGTCGCATTGCACAGCAAACTTAGTTGGCGGTAAATAGAAAAGCTGGTCGAGAAACCGGCAACTGAGTAGTCAGTCTGCTTGCAGTCACAGCATTCATCACTGAAATCTCCATTTAGAGACAATAGGTCCGACAAGCCCACACACAAATATCCATAGCCCAAAAAAATCCTTAGACTAAAGCATTTTGGGACGCGTTCACATGTTCAAAAGAATCTAAAAGTTGGATCGCTAAATTGACAATGGCAGCCAGGCAGCCCACTCCCCGCCAGCTGGCGTACCTCGACGAGCTGAAGATGCGCCTCCAGGAGCTGCGCGATCGCCAGGCGTCCTTCATGGAGCAGACGGCCAAGATACTCAGCCGGATGAGCTCCGCCAGTGTGGATGGCTCGGACTGCGAGGCATTGGCCACCGAGTCCACGGAGGAGAATGTGACCGCCAACCCTTCGGCGGGCGTGGGTGCCGGGATCACCAAGGGTTCCAAGGGCAATCTTAATATCAAGCAGCTGATCCAGCGCTTTGAAGATCTGCGCAAGAACTCGCAGGTAGGTGTGCATCATGCTGCCCATAACCACAAATCTCATGACCCTAAACGATGTTCGTAGCAAAATTTAACTGACGAGTAGTTCATTTAAGTGTTACTTTCGGCATTTCAAAAATTTCAAAGCGTTTTTAATAGCAAAGGATTTATATTGATGAATATTTTTGGATTCAAACCTGGAGTGTCTTCAGCGTAATAAACTTGAGAAATATTTGAATAAATTGTATATAAACCAAGAATGTTTTATTGGAATGCTGAAAGTGGTTAGGAAAGTGGTTTGAAAGTGGTTTGAAATCCTTTTAAAATCTGTAAAAGTGCAGCACATCTATGTAAAATATTTATTTCCGTGTTGTTCGCAGGATTTTGAAGATCTGCCCGAGGTGCCCGCGGAACTGATCAACGTGGATGTGCGCCGCCTCCTAAATGGCTACGAGAAACTCATCGAGGAGGGCAACGTGCTCCAGCAATCCTGGTTCCTGCTCAAGAAGTCCACGGAGAGTTGTGCCCGATTCGCCAGCGCCAATGGCATGGAGTCGGAGGATCGTGCTCCGTTGAAGACCAACTCTGGCATCGTTGAGGTATCGTACGTGGTACCAGAACCCAGTCCTCAGCTGGTAAGAATATCGCCGCTCAGGAAATCCCCATCCCAGCTCTCGAACGTGGTCACCTGTTCGGATGCAGTGGAAGGCAAGGAAAAGGTGTGCGGCCACAAGGATGCCAAGTGGAAGTGCAGTTCGCAGGACTATGGTAAGAGCCGCCGAAGAGCACCAGAAGAGCAGTCCCATGCAGGTTAATCCAAAGCCTTAACTGAACCCTAGGTCATGCGCGTTGGGGAGCCTTTATGCAATTGATGATTCGCCTCCTTCGTCCTTTCCACGGCTGCAGCAAGGCAAAGAAAAATGCCACCATCTCGATGCCCAGCCACCTGCCACCGAAGAGGAAGCCCATCCACTAGGCCTTCTCCTGCCAGCCATACACACAAATGCACACAAGTGAAGATCCAAAACTAAACCCACTAAAAATAATCCAATAAAACCGACCCCATCCAAAAGACGCGTTAATCAATAGCCAAACACCACACGTCAGCGTGTCAATATTTTGCCTAATTAATGTGGCCCGGCTTGGGCGCAGTGGCGCATCAATTTCGGGTGTCAAGTGCACTGAGGGGGAACGATCGCTCTGTGGGTCCCCATGGTCCGGATCCGGACCACCATCAGCTAATGTATCTATATGGCCCAAGCCGAATCCACGGCGACGTATGGCAGCAACTGCTGCGCTGACAGCGCATTTTAGTCGCCCATGGAAGGCCGAAAATAAATCTTGCCCTGTCGTGACACCGAGCGGATGATGCACTGTGCCAAAAACGGCTACAGTGTGTAGCAGCAAATAGCCGGGCTCATAAAATCTGGTAATGGCACTACAGAAGCGGCGGAACGCCTAACCAATAAATAAAAAATATTTTGCACTCCTTTTCGGAACTTAACCACTTATAATGCCATGTGCCAGCTTGCCTAATTTGCTTGCAGTGTACTGAAGGAGTGATACACTGGCTGCGGAGGGTGTGGAAGCACTAAAAGCAACGCAGACAAAATACTCGGCCCCACACAACACACAACACACAGCACACACGCATGGCGAGAAGTAAACATTTAAATTTAAATTAAGTGGCTTGTTCAGCATCTCCGAATGCAGCAGCTAATGAGCGGGGCCCACTCCATGTGGGCGACGGAAACTATATATACAGATACAGATACGCGGAGGGCGGGGATCTCAGCAGGAAGCTTCGCGTTTGGATTATCATCGGAATTGATATATTCACTTGAGCGCTTGGCATATTTGATTAACTTTCCATTCGATATATTAATGGAAGTCCCATCGGTATACGAGTTTGACAAAAAAGCGAGTGGGCGAGCGACCATAAGATACTTAGTATCTGTTGAAGGTCTCACCTGTTTGCTGCCAGCATCCTGCGGGATAAATCAATCCGTGCGCATATATGAATGGCTAATTAATTATAATTAAAGTTACAAGCACTTAAATCAGAAATAACAAGTCTAAGCTGGAAGGCAACACGAATTCCAGCCACACCTTTGCTGGCCATAATAAGAAATCATGTTTGGCAATGATTTGTGGCATCGATGCCGGTTTGCTGTGGCGTGGATATACTCGTACGTATAGATATATCCATTGGTTGATCAAGAGGGGCAGCGCCTTATCTGCGCAACAGACGCGAGTGGCGATGTTAATCAGCGACAGGCGGCATGCAACCTGCTAGATACAAAATATACATACAGATGTATAGATACTATATCTTCGGGACGGCTAACGTTGCGGGTTGGTATGTCCACGGATCATCGAGGGGCAACAAACGAGTTGCAAAGTGGCTGACAGCGCGGTTCCAATCCGTTGGCGCTTGAATCGCTTTGTCTGCCGCTCCGCAGGTGCAAAGACACGCAGCCACCAAATGTGGCAGCCACGCCGCGTTGCATATGGGTCTTATTTGGCCAGTCTGCAGCACGCTTTAACCTCTGCTGTTTCTAAGGCTTGATCTTGATGGTCCAGCACATAAGTCATAAGCGCAGATCTGGGCACATCCACTTCTTTAATTCGCCTAAAACTCCTAGAAGCCGTCCTACTCGTGTTGAAATGCTCTTCAACATGCTTGGCCAAGTGTGCATAGCCTACCTGCAATCTGTTGCAACGTGGCTCCTGTTTACCCGGTCCCATGTCCCATGTCCACAGTACACATGTATTCGAGGCGGCTGGCTGAGTAAATAGCCAACCTTTGAGATAATAAACATCCAAAATGTCGACGCCCCGCCGAAGATTGGACTCGGAATCTAGAAGTCTAGTTCCGCGGAATGCCCAGCAATTGTAAACTGACTGGGCAAACAGTTCTGGGAATTCGTCATCGCACATTTTAGGGGCAGCGGGTGTGGGTGGCGCGGGGAAGGGGCAGGGTGAGGCGGCGGTCGTGGGGCGCAGTGCGCCCTTTGATGTTGCACCGACACACGTTGGCAGACGTCTGTTCACCTAATTATCACACCATTTGAGGCATCGTAAAGGCGGGACGGCCAAAGGCAAGGGGGGTACGTGAGTTGGTGGGCGGATCGGGAAGCCGAATTCAAGTTTCATTGCGCTGCATTTGTCGTGCATATGGGGCGCATCATAAAGCCATAAATGTGTGAAAGGCGGTCGGCGAGATCAAAGTCCTGCCAGACTGCAGCTCTGCGAAATTCAGGGGAATCTGAATACGTACGTTTTCGGATAGCTGAAGTGGAGAATGAACTACAGCCTAAAAATGCAACTTGAATATTCTATTTGCCATAGCACTTTTGAATAATTTAAATTGACAACCGTTTACCAGTGCGCCGTCAAACTGGCACTCGTTTTAGATTCCATTAATTGCAGTGCACGAGGCAAATTAGCTGCCATTTACATGGGGTTAAGGAAGCAAATTAAGGCTCGGTCCGGCGGGAAATGGAAAATCCCGACCAGCGTCAGCTGCACTTGCACATGCAAACTAATAAATTTCATTGATGTGTCTATTTTGGGCCGCCCTCCTCCCAGCCAAAGAGCCCCAAAGTGCCTGCAACGGAAGCAATTTGTAGCTACAAGCTGTAATTTCTGCGTCCCACCCGCTGCACACTTTTCCCCGACTTTTTCCCGCTTTTGCCGTATTTTCCAACCTCTCCTCTCACATTCCTCGACCAAATAAAAAGACGTCGATAATTCTTGAGCAACGGCGCGAAAATCGGGCAAATTTTCGCCGTCAGTGGTCGGAACCAAATGCGAAAACGAGGTGAAAGGGGGCTTACTAGACCTCGTTGGCTTTAGCAAAGCAATTGCTGCACATTTTATTTAACCCTTTTTATGGCCTCATTATGGCCCGAAAAGGAAGAGCGCGGAGTGCAGACAAAATATATATCTTTTCTGCTGAATTGGGGTAGAATTGTTTGGGCCTTGGGCTTTGGGCTTTGCGCTCGAGGCGGGTGCGAAATGTCTGGCGGAAATGAGGCTAGGAATCAAGCAAATAAATGTTTTATAAAATGTTTCCAGCACACAAAGTAACTGAGTGCGACTGAGGGGGGGACAAGGACGTGCCCCAGCCATTCTCCAGCCATTAAAATGAAATTTATCGCTCGCAATGTTATATGGTTTTCGAAATTTCCGTGCAAAATGGAGTTACTCGGTAATTTGGTCGGAAAATGAATGTTGCCAAGCCTGGGGTTCATGTAAAATGTTACTTTGTCGCTTAATATCTGCCCACATCCTTTGAAGCACGATTTATGCAAGGACTATTTATCACATGTGAATATTAAGACTAGTGCATATTGGAGTGACCAGTGCAAATTAGAGTCACTAAAAGTTTTTGGAACATATACACCCGGTAGTAAAGCATGGCGTTTACCAAGTGAAATCAAATTGTTTTCCCTTCATTCTGCAGCCCGAATGGTCGGTAAATCTCTTCAGCTGAAATTCATATTCCCCACAGAGCACCCGACTTTAGCCCGAAAACGAGTTGGTGTGGGAAATTAATAGCGGCTAAAACTTTCAACTTGGCCAGAGGGAGGCGCTGCTGCAGCATCGCCTGGAGCAGAAGCCCACTTACTCATTCATTCAGTTTAGCAGGGGCAACTTGTGGCCATAAATTTGCGCACAGCGCAAAAGTGGAAAATACACCGAAAAATAGCGGAGGCACGTTGGTGGCCTGGCCGACCAGCCCCAAAAGCCCCTGCCACTTTACAGTTTTCGGTTTTCAGTTGTCGGTTCTCGGTTTTCGGAGTGCAGGATCCTCCTTTTTGGGGCCTTGGGGACCTGTATCTACTAGCGCACTTTCAGCGCGACGATAAATTTCCAAGGCAAAATGTGTAAATTATAAATACGAGCAATTATTTTAACTCTACTTAACAAATTACCATGCCGTAGCATATGGGGCAAAAGGTATAAATTACCGACTTTTACGACTTGCGGAAATTGTACGGCGACGATGGCGCTGCAAGCAGGTTATAACCCGGTCCGGGCTGCATGTGTGCGAGAGTATCTGTGTGCGTTGCTGCTTTGGCGGGTTCCTGTTTAATTGTGTGTGTGGGTGATTATGCCTAATTGCGTGCAAGTGTGTGTCTGTGTGTGAGCCTGGAGCTAGGATGAAAAGCCGAGGCGTCGACGGCGGCATGTTCAAGGATCCGCCGCCCCAACACGAGTTTCCCACCTTTCCGCCCACTTTTCCGCCGCTTTCCCCACTCGCTTGCGGTGTAAAACTTTTCGAATCAACTTTTAAGCAGCGCAAATGACGCTGTGGCCACGTTCGAGGTGAGCAGGGGAGTAGGGGGTGACTTCTAGTGGGCGTTAAAGGGGGTGGCATCCACCTCACTTGATGACTTGATAACTTGTGCTTGTGTGGCAACGTTACTTGGCAAATTATGCTGAGGGTGCTGCTTTAATTGCGTTATGGTGCGCTAAATTTCAGTTTCAGCCAATGTGTACAGTTTAATACAGCGTTTATCCCACATTTTAAAAGTTCTTAAGTTTACAGAAGACTAAGGTATTAGCTTGCTTGGACAGCCAACTAAGCTTCTAAGTATGCAACAATTTGAATAATGCCAGAGCTAGATACTTGCTCAGACCCACTACAGTGTGTGTTTAAATCAAAATTAGTACACAATGCCTTTATAACCTATTATAAGCAGCTTGCGGACAGTTCATTCAATCAAAATACTTGGCCAACTGGCCCCTCTTGGCCTTTCTGCACCAGCCGCCTTGCGTATAAAATTCGCACAACACGAACCGCCGGGCCATTAATCATTTTCGCAAGCAGCCAGCGCGAAGACTTGATTTCATGTTCTGGCTCCACTTGGGGTGGCAAGCAGCGAAAAGAAGCGGCAACTTGCGCCAAAAGCAAAATGAATATTTTCCTTACTTCTTACGCAACGCTGGACACAAGATTGATGTGACATTTGTGCCGGGCTCTCGAGAAATATGGCAGCTCCTGGCAGAGCACGTCCTCACCCCGCAGCTCATTGGCAATGAAAAATTCTAGCGCCAGCCAAAACGACATTTC